TATTAACAGATTACATTAAAAGGCAAAAATGTTCATGATACTCCTTCTACCGTACTTTGGTGCCACATGTTTTCTAACCACTCAGAGCAGTAAAAAAAAGGCAGGGAAAAAATCTTTATGTGGTCAGACTGTGTTCATCTCTCTTTCTCTCCCCTCACATATGCATATAATTAAAGACAGGCATGCACCACCCATCTTTTTGCATTTTACCACCCTCAAATTTTTAGGTCTTCTAATCTTTCAAAAGGAAAATCCCAATCACACAATTTGTTTGGTATTGTAACCCCTGTTTCCTGAGGAGGCATTTGGTAAAAATGATTAAATGTGTAGATAGAATTGGCACTTTTTATCAAATTACTGTAGTTACAATAATGTTATCAGCCTGTGAAGATGTTTAAATTCCTGGCAAATTCCTTCTGGTACATAGTCATACACACTAACATGAAACACTGTTTACAAGCAGTGGGGGCAGGGGATGGATTAAAAAAATATATACTGTGGGTATCCATAACATAACAACATTTCACATGTTTATTTGTGACATACATATCAATGTGTCACAATCTCTGTTATAATTAAGTCACAGATGCTGTGCATTTGTGGGAGTATGGTGATACAGAAGTATAGTGGCACAAACGAGATGTACCCAAAATAACATTTCTCATACACAGAAAATGACTTATTTGCAAGTATTTTCAGTGGAGTGACAGAAGGAAGAAAAGCAAGAATATTAGCAGTGGTATCCCTGCTTTATTCTTGTCTATTGTCCAACTATCCTGAAAGACAGGCAAGGAAACACACAGTCCAGGAACAGGACTGAGCAATGTATTAGTCTACTAATACCAGCAAGTTTATAAATTGGGGGTAACAAAACACTTGAACACAAACTTCTCTACATCCATCAACAAATAACTCAGGATGGAAATACACTGTTTCCCAAACCTCGTATTTATATATGTTACTGAAATAGGACTGACAGCTTTGCATTAACCTACTTTTGTACCAATTCCTAGGTGGTGGAAAATAGTCCAAAAGTGATGTAAAAAAGCAACATCACAACGGCTACCCATCATCACTATCACACTGCTAGTAGTCCCACTGGTTATATAGCGTTTTTCACTGCACAGATGTTAAACCAGCTTATGGGGGAGAAAACCTCCTCCTTCTCCTGGATGAAAAGAGAGGAACAGAAGCATGGAGGTACTCAGAACCAGGTTCCCTTTGAAATGAAGCTGCTACTACAGCGTTATTGATTTGAATAATGATTACATAGTGAACACATAAAGCAAAAGTTCTTGTGTAAAGTGTCAAATAACTGCAGACAATTATTTCCATATAGAATGGAAATACATGTTTTGCTGTCATCCTAGTCACATAAAACACAGTAATTTTCCAGTGAAAAATTGGTTTTCTTTTCAAATAGTAGCCATTTAGAACTTCACAGCTAGTTTGGTGTTTAAGCAGAATGTTGCTGGCATTCATATATGTGTATATACATACACATACAGACACGCACAGATCCTGGTTTACAGCTCAACCTTCTCCTTTCAGTACTGGCTTTCCATCAGGGAAAAAAAAAGAAAAAGAAGTGCCCAAGCTAGCCCACAGCAGATACAGCAAAAAGGCAGTAGGTTTCAGGGCAGCCACCTTATCGGTTTCCTCTGGTTTTGCTCCAGCAATCCATGGCATTGCAGTCCATTGCTTCTCCTTCCCAGGCAGCGTTTTCACTTGGAAAATGTGGTCTCTTTTTTTCTATTTGGTTTTCATTTTATAAAACCAGTGTAAATCAACAAGCAATGAGTCAGACACACACTATACATAAACATAAAACCAAACCATCTGAAAGTGACAGAACATACTAGATGAGGAAAAATAAATACAGAGATAAAAGAACTTGGAAGGGCCCCAACTTCAATACAAAGAAATCGACACAGAAAAGACACAAAACCACAACAATGAAGTTACACTTTTACATAAATGTCTATTTTAACCAAAAAGATATTTATAGCTATTAAATGAACCAATGTGTCGTGGACATTTGAAAATTTGACCAGCATTTGTACCTATGCATATACCACTATGCGTAGAAATATTCAGGTACTACTCAGAAATTTGAGGAATAATTTCTTGGCAGTAACCATAAATTAAGAAAATAGTCATTAAAGAAGTGATCCATACAGTCAGTGACTGTATTATCTGCATGCACATACTCACAGTTCAGATTGCTTAAGTATCTTATTGAAATAATGTCTTATTAACAAAAATCATTTGGTAGCATCAAGCAAGCTTAATTGAAGTTCACCTCTCTGGGGACTGAAGAGAATACTGAAGAATTTAATGGGATAGGAGAACACATTTAGGAGCAAAGGGTAGGAACAACAGTGGAAGAAAAGGGTAACAACTGAAGATAAATTGATTGCTTTTGAAGACTGATTTGCTCTTCTACTCTATGAAAGAAGCAGCAAATAACTCATAAAACTAAAAGTTTCACAACAGCAAGAGAAATTTATTTGGGTCGTTTTCTTGCCACAAGCATTCAGGATAATATTTGTAGAAAATCATTTTCCAAACTGCTGTTTTAAGGTTCAGTCAGGGAGGAGGTATAGAGAAAAAGTAGGTAAATTCCTTTTACAGACTTTTGGAGATTAAGGTGAGTAAATTTTAACGACGACATTAAAGATGTTCCAAAGAAGTCAACGCTGTAAATTAACCGATCATGTAAAGCCCTTCTGAAACAACACACAGGCTGTGTGTGTGCTTATGCACAAGCTGTCTATGAAGAGTTAAAGAGGGGGAAAAGGAGGGAAAAGTTCTACTGTCACTGAAAAGTTATCTCCATCAATCTGTGTAAATCAGAGTGACATTTAAGATGTCCTTAACACACAGGAAAATACTGCCATCACCTCCATTTTTTTCTAGTGACTCTAATTCAGTTGTTCTTGTAGAATAATAAAGTTCCACACATTATTTAAAGTCCGGTCCAATGGTAAGTGATAAAAAGTTAATGTATACTTAGTATAAACAAATATTACATTAGCCAAAGAAAGTGTTAATCTAAAGGACAAACTGCATTTACTATATTACATACAGGGTTGTACGGAAACACATGCGGACAAGCGTCTGCAGTGACATACCCCTTGTGTCTGTAGGGACAGAGGTGTGATACGCCGCTTTTCCCACTCATTTGGGCGTGGTTCAGGTGTGGATTCCATGAAATTGCGCTTGAGCTCACTAATGCTAGCCTGGTGTTTCAGTAAGTCGTCCTGGGTCTTATCCAGGTCCTAGCAACCCGCAACGTAAAACAAAGTAGGACAAAACACAACAACAAAAGCAAACTTAACTGGAAAAAAAAAAGAAAAAAAAGAAACCAAACCAAGGAAAGTGCCTTGTGTCTGAAGAGCTGTTCTTCTTTGGAGTGCCTTAAAATAAAGAAGTTTAAGGCTATATGGGAACTAAGATTTTTTTGGTTTTGTTTTTGTAATGAAGGGCCACTCATACACTGTTTCTTCCATATTTTAAGGCAAAGGAAAATGAAATGCCGTGCATGGTTATTTAACAGAGGGCTATTTTCATCCAAAACATGAAACTAGCTCTATGAAACAATAATAACTTCCAGTAATTACTTGTTTTCATCTAAAATTTCTAAGCACAGAAGCAAGTGTTTTGGGATATTGCACAACGAACATCACTGAAGGCAGCTGGAAGAAAGAATAGTCTAACCCAAGAAGCATTATAAAAATGCATCTTTCTTGGTATTACAAGCTCCATGAAAAATACTTACTTCTGTGAAGACAATACTACAGGGCCAAATATGCAAGCAGCTAACACCTGCTTAACTTCAGAGGGACTATTCATTGTGCCTGTCATGTAGGCTTAAATTTACTGGAAGAATCACATTTAAAGACTTAAAGCCTGGTATCTGCCAATTCCACATTTAAGAACCTGACAGGAGACACAGCACTCAAGTAGGGATAGTTTTTGTGCACACCAATACCAAAGAGATGTTCTCTCTAAATTGCACCTACATAGGCAAGTGCCAAAGGGGACACCACATCGTGAATATCAAATTCGATTTTGTGATGACCCACTGAGACTAAGCTGCAGCACCTTGGATCAAATAACTACAAACTAGTCTTTCACCTTATACCAGATACAGGAGCAGACATAAGGATCAGGAGCTATACAGAAACATAACTGTTCTGGTAAGCAGGCAAAAATCTATCTGCTTAGCTCTCTTGGAAATTAATTATCCTTTAAATACAATGCTGGGCTTTGGTGGGAAGAGCAGATTTCACTCTGCTTTCATAATCTGTGCACTTTGAACACTAAGAACCTCTCCCCTTGTGGCAACTCAGTAGGTTCATATTGTCACAGGACCAATGCTTCACTTTTAATTTAGGACTAACAAACGAGACATTAAATATGTCCCCCTGAAGGATGTATTTTCTGAGTGAAGTAAAACCTTGTGCAAAAGCCATTCTATTACCCAACTGAAGCTTGTAACAATCCTGTTATAATTTTAAAACCTGTCTTGGCTTGACACAAGGCACGTTTCTTGGACTTGATCAAAGCACACGCAATGCACACTTTCAGTGCTTTAGTAAGTTATACACAAGCAAAGTTTCAATAATGATCAAAAGCTGCAAAAAGCAAAAAAAAATGTATTAGTTGGGTTACTGCGATCCATACATCTCCTTATTACTGAACAAAACCAATGATTTTTAAAAAGACAGTTTTTGTGACAAAGGGAATTATTTATAGCCCCATCTGGATGAATAAAATAAATTAAAGACAGCAGTAGGATTTTCTAAACTTTCTTCAGTTACTAGTTTATGTTATTAACCACAAGTTAAATGACACTGATTATAACTACAGACAGTCTTTGATAAAATAATCCAGATTAACAGACTATATGGAAATTCTTATAATAAAAATCTCTACTTCAGTGACAAAGCACTACACATTAACATACTGTTCAAAGCTCTTTGTTGTTGCTCATCTTCAACGAAAGCCAACCTTTAGGAAGCAAGAATTACTTCCATTTGAAAACTGAAAAAATAAGGCAAAGATTTCTGAGGCATATCTAAACATTCGCTTTAAAAACCTGATCCTCACATACCTTTCTCAAAGCTCCTAAAAATCAATGAGTGTCAGAACCAGAATTAGTTTTTCCATACTTCCATCACTGCTTGTGCCTTACTAACTCCATTTATTCAGATAATGTATTTGATAAATGTTGATTAAACTGGTGAAAACTAGAAACCCTGCTCAACAGAAGATGCACACATTAAGGAGCAATGTATAAAAAAATCCCATTTAGGATTATGAATTGGACCCATGTGTTGCTTTATCTAAATAGGGCTATTATTCCCAGTTGCCACCTTGAAAACATCTAGCAAAAATATACAAAATGTACACTCAACATTCAAGCTGAAGGGGGTTTTTCTTTGTTTGGAATTTTTTGGTGGTTTGTTTTTGTTTTGTTTTTAATTTAACTCGGAAACTAGAATGATAACATGCAACATTTCCAAGCTGTTTTTCCCCCATGCACTTCATGCACTGTGTCCGTAACAGCCTGCAGGTGACCTCCCATCCCATGCAGCCTGGCAGCCCGTGAGAAGGGAAAGTGTTTCTTATATTATATACAAACCTCCAACATTAAATTGCTATGTCTGACATAAATATTTTCCCCGTCTACTCTCAAGGAATTGCTCTGTGAAATTAAGCCACACACACACAAAAAAAAAAAAAAAAAAAAGAAAAGAAAAGAAAACAAAGTAAACATAAAATGTACAGCAAGTAAATAAAAAAAGACCCTTAGAATCAGACAGTTAAATAAAGGAAATAAAATGGTATGGTCAAAAGGCACTACTCCGACTAAATCCACAGAAAGTTTAGGGTGCTAACAAGGCAGGCAGCTACAGTCAGATTTAATTGTAAAAAAACAACCATGCACCTTCTGCTGTGCTTCCTCCTCTTCAGAGTCCACCTATGTGAGCACGTGGCAAATTATCAAGAAAAGGAACCGTTAACATACGCTTACAGACTAACACAGAGGCTTCATCTCTTTGTAAATGCTGCAAAGCGTGCTATATTTACAGACCTTTACTGTTTCGGCCCCAGATGTTGTTGAAATTATTAAGCGACTTTGGTCTTCCTTCACCTACATTGTTGTAGAATGGCTGAAGTAATACTTGGCATGTGGCATGAAAAATGGAAGTTTCATACTATGTCCCTTTCTTGCTGTACTTTTCAGTGTTTTCCCAGATGGAAATTTAAGAATGAGTAAAGAAAAAAGATGATATGCGTAATTTCTGTGGTAAGCACCTTAAACTCTGCAACAAGTTGATGGGAAAATGGAATCTAGTGCATGAGTTCTTTTGGTAAGGGAGTCTAGGATTCAAGTCAAACACCTAAATACTGTATTTACAAATTGTCTTAATTATTTTCAGAATGTTGCTGTCTTGGGATGAGTTATTTGCACCCCACCCCCCTTTTTAGGTGAATATATCCTTCTTCAAACTGCAATGCACTCTGTTGGAAATGATAGCTGATCTTCATATCTTACCTACAAATATTCTGAATGCCTTAAGGAACAGCATTCTTTAAAAAGCAAACCACTTCCCAGTCTTTCCACAGGTACAAATATCAACTGCTAATCTTAGGAAAAGGTGCATTTAGAAGTCAACACTGTGCAAGTGCATAAATTTGAAGAGGTGTTTACTTATTGCACATACTGTTGCATTTCGGATTCTGTGTGAATGCACACATAACGTGGTACATATTGCATTTTTATTCATTTCTCGCTTATCTGGGGTTCTATTTTCTGCAACTTTATGTTACAAATGATGTATTGAATTAGGTTACAGAAAAATTGAGAACGTCTTTAAAGTCATGTTTTCCCTTATTTTAAACTTAGACTGGTGTTTTTAATGGCATCGTGTCGTATTTAGCATGTTTTTAATACGTACATTGTATTGATTTAATCAATTTAACAAACTGTTAAATGTAACATTGAACAGGCCCTCCCCCTTTTTGATTCTATAATATTTGGTTTCATATTTCCTTTGAAGATCAAAATAAACCACCTTTTTCTAGTGGTATTGCTATAACATGCACAGCAGACTTCAGGAAAGGAGGCATTTTGTCACCCACTCCAGACGATCAGAGCAACATATTAGTGTGACTGAGGCTTCTGTACAGCAATTTTAACAGTGTATTTCAAAGCATGTTCAGACTCCAGTGATTAAAGTCTGACACAACTTGCAATCCCAGCTTATGAACACAATCAGTCTCCACCTTAACTGCTGCTAGAGATTAATCAAAGCACTGAAAAAAAAAATAGTGCCTTGGACAGACTCAACTTTGCACACACCCTTGTAGAGCAGAAACATCTGAAATCTGGAATAACAAAAAAGATGGTTTTAAAGCATTCACAGTTTTCTGAATTCAGCTTTTAGGAATTTCACTTTTTAGAGCTAAACAGAACTTTGGAGAGGTGCATTCCAGTCAATGCATGCAGGAGACATGCATTTTAACACAAACTCATAGTGCAAGCAGGACAACTTGCAAAGAGTATCAAGTAATAATATATCTATTATTACACATTATATATGACATCTATTATACAGCACTTTCAGTATTCAGATTTATGTGCTTATAAACATTTTGAACTACAAAGCAACTCTTAACTGCAGCGCAGTATCTGTGGAATCTAATGAAATTATGCATGCTGTAGGAATTCAGGCAGAAAAACCACCAGCTATCTATTGACTAAAAATCCCACAATGGCAACTTTTCACAAATGAGAAAAGTTAGAAAGCTACAGATACACGTGTGTGTGTGTATTTATATATACAGACATGTACATAGACATATCCCTGTACTAGGAAGTGTGCAAAACTGAGCAAGCCTCTGGGAGAGCAAGCATAAAAGCTATGTGCAAGTGTCAACATTTAAGCAACAAAATTACACACCTCCTCTTCCTCTGCTTTGTCATTCAGGTCATTGTCATTAGAGGCACTAAAGTAAGTCGCCTTAGGCTCCAGGTAGCAGAGCGACAGAGCGAGAGGAAGGGAAAATGTGAGTGAAAAAGGAATAGACTGGAAAGCAGACAGAAGTAGCACGAAGATAAGGAGAAAAGAGGGGATGAAGGAAGGAGAGGTAATAGGAATATAGTGCTGAAGGCCAGGTGGGAGGAAAGAGATGCAAACATCAGGAAGGCTAGGAAAAGTAATATAACCATCCTCATCAAGCAGCGAACGGAAACTAAAAGAAAAGCATCTGATAAAGCTGCATGAGACACACAACTCGGTGCTTTTGTAGTCATTTGTATGGATTTTTCCCTCCACAGCAGGGGAGCCTCGACTAGCCAGGGGTCTCATAGATTCAAAGATATTCGGTGAAGCTATATTGGTTTTATTATGATCTGGCGGTTCTTTCATGGAATTGCACTCTGAGATGTCTGGGATGGTAAGGAGGGGCTCCCCAAAAGGATCTTCCTCTGAAATATCTGAAAGCATGTCCATCTCAGGGACAGGTGATAGGTTTGTGAGATGGGATGACACAGAATGGATGGGTAGTGATGATGGGTGTACGTGAGTGAGCCGAAGAAAAAAATTCTGTGCACAGTGGAAAATGAAAGCACAGCAAAATGCAGGTTTGAAGGCACAAGAAGAGGGAAAAAAAAGAAATTATTAGTTAGTGAAAATTTTTACTTAGAAGCAGGGATAGCTCTACTAATGCAATAGAAATGCCAAATAAAAATAGAAATCCCCTTGTGTTTTACAAGCAGCAAAACTTGTTTACTTCTGTGGATTACGAAAGGAACCCAGTACGAATGTTTTGTTCTCAGGCTGTAAAGAACTGTGCACTTTTGAACTGTAATAGTCACTTACAACAGATGGAAGCGGACAGACATTCAAAGCTTTGGCAGAAAGGTCAGAGGACAGTGCAGTACACGAAAGACAAGCTGGCACTTTGATTCTCGGGTTTATAACCATTTCCTCCAAGACTTAAAGAGAGCCAGAAAGGAAAAGAAGTATCTGCGCTAGGGGGGAAAGAAAGCTGTTCACAGAGTTGGCATGTGTAACAAAACCTTACTGAACAGCTTCCTGGAACAACTTCCCAAAACACAGCTTTTTTTTTTTTTCCCCTTCTTTTGGTTAAAATATTGAAAGATACTGCCACTTTGAAAACAAGGGAGTATCACCATTTTACCAAGCCCAAAGTCAAAACATCGTAATTTATTTTACCATTTTTCTCCCATAAAGAAACTCTGTGTGTGCATTTTTCCTAGGCTAATTCAAAATTATTTCAACTTGCCAGCAAACAAAAAAAAATGCAACTGTTGGTATTTGTTCCCTTCCTACACTTGAATGCAGTGGGAACATGTGAACCGCACAGAGAAACTCAGCAGTCCCCCTAGGAATCAAATGGGTAGCTAACTTGCAAAAATGTTTGAAAACAAAATTACTCTTTAAATATGAAAGAAAGTTCTGGAGAACTGCCAGAAATAGAAATGATCTCCAAGAGAGAAGAGCAGCAGATTTTAGCTGACACTTTGGAAAGAAATTTTTACATCAAATCATACAAGATCTAAATTTAATTTTTTGACCTATTCCCCCAGTAGCTCAAACAAACAAGACAAGCAAATGGTTGTTAGCAACAGGAACAGACCAAAGTACTCAACTTTTCACAGAAATCTACTTCCCAGTCAACATAAAAGTTTTTAAAGGATGAAATAATTCTGCAATGGCTACTAAAACCATACTGTTCCCTACGGTAATTAAACACAGTCATAATATACCCAACTTTGTAGATGTACACAACTGTGGATATACTAACAACTTTTTTTAAAGTCTAAACAAACTAAGGAAATGAATAAAACATTATTTACCCTTTGAAACATTTTTTTCAAGAACTCATGAAAGCTTACTGAGAATTCAAATTAAATTTAGAGCAATAAAAGAAACCCTAGGTCAATGCCGTTCAGAAGTTTGTATTCTCTTTTGTTTACATACACTTACATTAAGTTAAACCTACGGAAAGCACTTGGCAATTTTCCTTTAATATTTTAATATGGTGTTCTGTATGATGCTCAGAAGTGATAGGCACTAAATAACCACACATGGACACACACCACATGAACAAATAATTTCGGTGTGAAAGTCAGCCATACCTTTCCATCCTGAGTCAATTCTAATTGTGGAGTTTTGACTGGGCTTCCATCTTCTTCTCTGCCACCTTCTTTTAACTTGGCCTGACCAGCAGCTTCAATGTCGATGATTTTATCTCCAGCAGCCTGCCCTCCAGCAGCAGGGAAGTCTCTTAGCAGACTTTGATCTGAGATACCCATGGGAGCTATTAGAGAACAAAATAATTTTGGTTAATTGGGGTAAGTTGGAACATTTTGTTTTTAAGACTTCTTAACAGAATTATTTTATGGTGATGTCAGCAATGAGCAATACAGGCTAGTTATTGAGTGATACAGTATTTTTCAGTTTCTTGGCTTAGCAAAAAGTCTGTGGTTCTCATTGCACTGATATGAACAGCAATGTACCCTTGTCATATAACGTGCACTTACTATGCAAGGGAAAAAAACCCTCATGATATCAGGTAGGTATTTAATTATCAACTTTCTGATTAGTCTTGGAAGATAAATTGAAGGTACTGTTCTTGCGACTGTGTAAATCACAATAACAAAAGAGAGAAACAGGCAACAGTGTTTTGTGGAAATTCACTATTTTGAGAAGACTGTTTTAATGCAATATATAAACAGCTATGCATATAACTGTCACAGTATTTTTATTCTGGAGCCTTAGCAAAACTGCAGAAACAACAGCTCAGTGAAAGTAACTTTTCCTCCTTATATCCTTGCAAAAAATGGAAGGGGGAAACACTGAATATGTATAGTTGAATATAGTCAAAGCACAAGAGAGTGAAAGGCCTTAAATTAGTTTTTTCTCTTATTTGATTCAGCATAATAGTATTAATGAGCAGGATGGCTTTTTTTTAATATCAGGATGACTGGCTCAGTCAAAATAGTAGTAATGAAATACAGGAGAATTCATTAAATCAAGCAGCTTTAATAAACACAACTTTGATATAAACTTAATTCATTTAGCAATCTTCTGTAACACCTCCATGTGCCTTGACTTTACAAAGCCAAGGTGCAGAAAGCTGAGAGGAAGAGGCATTTCTTGAAGTACCTTTGAGGGATATCCTCTTTTGAAAACAGTGTCAGCTCCACATCAAAGGCTCCCTTAAGCTGTGAAGAAGCCAAGGCCAGCTAATGGCAAATGTGGGATTTGGGATGTTAGGCTTTCACGGCCTTTCTAAGTAGTAAGTTCTGCAATTTAAGCTTCTGATCCCTTCTTAGGTGGCAAATAGAGCATTTCTTGGGTATACGTCCCTCAAGTTCCACAAGTAACTTTGGACAAATCACAGAGTAATTTAGGTTGGAAGGAACATCTGGAGGTCAGCTAGTCCAACCCCCTGCTCAGAGCAGGTCCAATTTAATCAGGTTGCTCAGGGACTTGTCCAGTTGAGTTTTGAGCATATCCAAGGTCTTTCTAAACAAACTAAAAAAATTTTTGTTTCTAACTGAAATTTGCTGTGTCTCAACTTGCAGGCACTCCCCATTGCCTTATCACTGGGCACCTCCGAGAAAAGCGTGGCTCCGTCTGTTCTATACCTTCCCTGTAGGCAGCTGTAGACAGCAGTATCTCACCACAGCCTTCTCTTCTTAAAGCTGAAGGACCACAGTTCCCTCAGCCTCTCCTCATGCATTATGGGCCACCAGCCCTCTGGCCAGCTTGGTGGCCCTTACTGGGCTCGTTGCAATAATCAATGCCCATCTAATGCTGGGGAGCCCAAAGATGGACACAGTACTCCAGATATGGTCTTCACAAAGTACTGAATAGAGAGGAATAATATTTCTTCTAATGTGCTGGCTATGCTCTTGCTAATACAGCCCAGGATCCAGTTGACCTTCTTTGCTGTAAGGGCACACTGTTGACGCATGTTCAACTTGTCCAGCAGGAGTTTTCTCAGAATCCAGCAGATCCTTTTCTGCAAAGCTGCTTTCAGTGCAGTTGGTCTCCCAGCATATACTGGTGTATGGTGTTACTCCTCCTCAGATGCAGGACTTTGCATTTATTTTTGTTGAATTTTATAAGGTTCCTTTCAGTCCATTCCTCCAGCATGCTGCAGTCCCTCTAGTGAGGGCGAGGTGGGAGCGGAGCAAGAGTAACCCTTACAAGGATGAGTACACAACTCTAGGTAATGGCACTGGACATGCTGCTCACAAAGGAGAGGCAGAGTGCAAGCGCACTCTCTACAGGATTTCTCCTTTCAAGTGCACACTCACAGGTGAACCTACATCTGGACTACTGCCTAAAGAAAGAACAATATTTAAGTTTGACTTTGAATGAACATAGTTTAAAACGATTACAGCCTGCAGATGGCAACACCAGCCAGATGCCTTAAATGCTGCCAGGAATAGCTGGTTTCATTTGAGATGAAACTAAAGATGATTAAGGGGAAGAAAAGGAAAACCAAGAGCAATGTTTCATCATGCTCAAAATTTTTACTGTGATGGCTCCATAAGAGTGAAAGTTTGGGCCTGAACACACATGCATACACCTTTGTATTCTTCAGATGATGCACAAGGGATCTCAGAAAGGCTTGCTGATACAATCTCTGAGAGTTGGGCAGAAATCAAATTGTTTCTAACCAAAAGAAGCACAGGAACTAAAACCAATGCAGACAGTACCACTGATGTGGTGATGAGTCTTTTGGTTGCCACAAGGACTCATCACACACTACCAGGACAAGCACTTTTGCCTCTTATTTTTGCTTAGGTTCTCAGAAGGTAAGACTTTGCAGGTTTCCCAAGCAAGTGTCACAGTTTGCTCATTTGTCCCAGTATAGAAGAATGAATATTTGCAGAAGTAAAAGTCTTCTAAGTAAAAGATTTTTGGAGAAAAAAAGTAAAGTTAACAGCTGAATTGTAGCTAAAGTCATACCATTGTCACAGTTCACTTATATTCAGGCATACACAACTTCACTAGAATAAAAGTCAAGCTTCACATCACTTTTCTGAAGAATTTTGGTACCTTATAGTTATTTCAGAAGTGATTTAGAGTAAAACATGTGCTTCTACATCTCTCACACATACTGCTGTTCTACCTGCCTTTGGAAAGCATGCCTGTTTCCAATAAAGGAAACCAGAAGGTATTTCTGCTCAAAGAGACCAAACACCAGTAATGACATAAAAATTTTAGCTAGTCAAACACCCTCAACATAAAACTTGCTAACTAAACACAGAAGTAACGAATAAATATACTAGGATTACAATACACTGAACAAAATGATACAAAACTAAAAAAGAACTTGTTCTGCCTTTTCTGTTTGGTGTAGAGAGGTACTCAGGCCAACCCAGAGCCCAAAAGATGCCGCTGACCAAACAATTCTAATCAACAGCATATAGTGCATGCCTATCCCGTAAAACGGATATGAGTGGAGAACACAGATGCTGTATGTCCAATATAGAATCCTCTGTATAGTCACAGCAGTGCCATACAATTTAGACAGTGACTTAACTTACTGTTTAGGTCACCTAAAATTGACAAGTAACCAAAGTGGCTACTCTTCACATCACCCATCAGAAACTGAAATTCATAGATTTGTCAATTGACATTCTGGCCATCCATAATGTCAACATTTTTGAATACTGGTCAGATCAGAGTGACAACCCATAATGTAATCATTACACTGAAGAAATACCTCCATCAAGGCTCCTGGAAACACGTTTGCTTGAAGTGCGCTCGAAGTACGGAGCTGGTCTGTCTATGAGGTTGCTAGCCTGTCGTGTCTGTGCTTGAGTACGTCCACTGTAGCGGAACTTGGAACCCAAGGTTAGAAACTTCGCTTTTGGAGGCTGTTCTGGTGATACCAGTCTAAAAAGTAAATATGAGGAAAGTCAGTTAAAAAGGCTTTATTTTATGTGTTTAATGGGGTACTTTAAAGCTACTTATTATGTTTTAACTTTAGTTCACCAAGCATGATTTGTGCACTCCAAGAAAGGATTCTACCATAAACTCTGAAAAGAACTTCTAAAACAATGCATGTTATTTATTATTTACAGTTGGAATTGAAGTGATGCTGATAATCATCACATTTTCCACAGTATGACTAAGCATCTGGGATCCTTATCTTTTGGTGTTATCTCGGTTAAATGGCATTTTTTCTAGAAAGCTAAGGCCATTATAGGCCCACGTAGAATACCTCTCAGACCTCTCTCCTTAGAATGTTACTTATAGTAGAAACTACACATCCCACTTCCACTGTCTTTCCTATATTCCAAGGTACCAATACGGCAGCTGCTATTCCTCAAAGTTAGGGAATGGCATCTCAAAGCTGCATAGAAGGCTGTATCGAGTGAAAAAAAGATTGAGATGGCTGGAGAGTTGTGACTCAACGGTAAGAAGTTCAACAAGCTAGATTCAGACTCCAGTTTCTTTACAATGTCATTTATAGATTGGTGTAAGCTGATGCTTGCTGGATATAAGGAGGGGGGGAAAAAAGCATATAGTGAAAAGGGTGAAAAAGAGATCCAGTTACAAGTACTATTAATGTGGGGTATGTATGTTTGTACCTAAGTGTTAGAGCTAATGTCAGAAAGTCTAAGCAACAATGTGGCAGAATTCGCTATGAGGGATTCTGCTTTGTTCCACCAGTTTTTGACACCACATGAGTTTGAAGAGATAGGTCCTCTACACCTCCCTGAATTTCCTTCAGTATGAGGACTTCAAGCTTTTATTCACCTAACCCTCACTGCTTGTACTTTGTTTTTGAAATGTGAGCCATCAGCTTCCACACTAAGGGTACTGTTTGTTCCAGTGCCATCCTTGCTGATAGGATAAACAGTCATCACTGCAGGAACTCTTCCCAGTCTCAGCTTCTCTAGAAAGGTCTTTGATGTTGCTCCTTGGCTCAATGTAGTGCTGCAGATACATGCTCACCAAGCTTGGCAGACTCCATGGCCTATTCTCCCTCTGTATAAAACCATCAGACTATTACAGATAGAGCTTTTTGATTTGAGGATTTGCAAAAAATGAGAAGCTCACTGAACATCAGTTTCTTTCAGGCAGAACCAGCAACTACTGTACCCTTTGTACTTGGGATGGCACAGATGGGCATATGTTAAGACAGTATCCAGTGGTGTGTTCTGAAAACTGACAGTCATTCTAAAGATGTTTCAGTAAAACTGAAGAATTTTCAGATGCTTAGCAAAAAGAACGGTGAGCTAGGTAGAAAGTTACCATTTTCTCTAATAGAGGATGTTTATGGCTTTGTCAGAGTGCTAGCCAGAAGGATCCAATCCTGCATGCCTAAGATGCATGTGCACGCACCTGAATCCTAATCTGTCCAACACATTTTTAAAGAAAACAGAATTCAAGACGGACTAATCCACCCTTTTGCACTAAGGTCACTTATATAATAAAATCACAAGTATCTGAAGCTTTACTTTCATTGCTTCTATAAAACAGCCTTATGCAATCTTTGTGACAATTTATTTCTCCACATTATTTCCAAGAGAGAGTGTATTATGCATTAAGAGGAAGAAGGCTAAGAGGGTTTTTCCAAGGTTCTTTCTGTTCTTTTCCATTCTTGGCAAGGCTACAGCATCAACTGCCATTTTTATCTTCCACCCTGCTGAGATAAACTTTTAATCTTTTAATGTGGAAAAAACAAGAGAACTAATTACTTCCTGATTAAGGGCATTTGAATGGATTTTTTGTGTTACAAGCTTAATTACATAAAATAACTGAAGACAATGCTTTTACCATTTTAAGGCATTCTGGGGAGACACTGAAACAATCACGAAAATTTCAAATAAAACATCATAAAGCAGAATTATAAGCAGATTTCTAGAGCCATTGTTTTAGATCCAGAGTTGCGGACTAAGCTTACCTCAAAAGATTAATGTAGATATGTACTCTGACTGTATTTCTTAAAGCAGATTATTGCTTTTTGAAAATTTTACTGTAATCCTATAAGGTTGAGCTGATACAAGTGAATCCAATGCCTTTTGGTTGTCATTTTCAATATAGTTCATTAAAAGTTTTACAAATAATTTCATATGCTGGCCCAATTTCCCATATATTATAAGAAGATGGATCTTAATGTAATTATTTGAGAAAAACTGAAACATTGCAAAAGACAACACATGGAATCTTGCAATGTTATATAGGTCATGCTAAGAGATCTGGAAGCTAAAAATGTATATCTAGATTGAATACAATTTTATGTGGTATCATACACAAGCTTTATACACGCTCTGAAAGAGCTACAGTCTTTTGGACTGTAGCAATTGCTTTCTGCTTTTTATCTTTGGAGAAAAATAGAGCTGGATTTATTTTACTGGTTTTAAATCAGGATGAGACGTTCTGAGGATTTGCTGTCTGATGACATCAATGGAGTATATGGATTTCACAGAATGGTTCAAGTATTTGTTACATAATTCTCGTTATAATGTCATTCCTGGTTAGGAAAAGCCACTTCTGATTGGAATAAAATCCAATTATTTTTATTATGTCAGAATTTCTGCAGTAAGATTATCTAATATGTATTAACGCTCCTGGAAACTTACATTTGCAAATGGTAGTTCTCAGTTTAGGATTTTTGACTTCCATAAGATTTGTTTTTTCCCTATTCAGGTCCATTTTATTACTATAAAATTAGGAAATACAGTTTCCCAGCAAAGCAAACCACCGCATGAGTTATTTGAAGACTGTTGATAAACTCTTCATTGCAGACAGAACTGCATGCTATTTGTGGTAACGGACATCACCAGCCAAAACAGACTTCAAATTTTAAAGAATAGAATGGTGGTCTATGTATCTTAATAAACCTAACCAATGAATTATATCAAACATGAAAAAAAATCTTTGATCAGGATTTCAAAAAGAAGTGCTTCTAAATTAAGCATTTTGAGACTGACTGCCAATCTCAGCACAAATTCTAATATTGCATTCAAGAATATTCTACATTCAATGAAAATCTGAATACTGAAAACCATGCAGTGAGAATACCAGTAATGAACTGCTTAGGTCTCATGTTCCCCAAGTTCTTTGAAGGTCTCACTCTAGCAAGTATATTCAGCTTAGACTACTATGCAGAGACAGGATTGCATCTTCCTTAAAACACAATTGCTTTTTTAAAATAAAAAACGAGGCAGCTGAAGGAGAAAGCTTACTTTTTATATACCCTAGTTACTGTGCTCATTTGAAGCAAGAAACTCAGATTCAATACCTATTCAATGCATAAGAGATTCAACCTAAATCTGTGACTCCTAGGCTGCATGGGGCACATGCTCCCTCATGGAGTTTGTGCTATTATAAAAATCAAATGAAGATTTTTCAAATTCCTTTTCAATGGAGGAAGTAGAAACAGAAACAACTCTGGGGCCTGTTGTTAAAGTGGTGATTTACAAATAGACCACAGTTTCAATGACCAATTCAGAATTTTATGTTTATCAGTTTCTGGGGAAAAAATGCAAAGAAAGTTATGGATTATTATATAAACAAATAATAGCCTGTTTTTAAAGTGATTCTCTGTTCTTCAAAGAATGACTGTGAACTCATCCCAGTTTATAAATAAGCAAAAACTCAGCTGTAAGCATTTACACTCAGCAGAATATTCTGAAAAGTGAAGTGAATGAAGATTACTGTCAAGCCCTGAGAGCTTCTTGTGAAGGAGTATAGTGGCTTTCTAGATGGTCACTGAGCAAGAGCTGATCTCTCAGCAAGTCTTACATATGATCACTAGTTCCATACCGTTAGCACTCTAAAAGTTTAAATAAAACAGTTAATTGTACTTGAGACCTTCAAAATTGGTAATTTGGGGTCAATGATTGGTAGGGTGTCTTCTGTCTAAGAGATGTTACTGGACTGAGAAATTAGGGGCAAAGAGGGCGGGACATCTCTATTTTCCTCATATCCTTTCAAAGAAAGATATGAGCATACCTGGCAAAACGGGAGAAGCAGAGAATTACCATTTACCTGAAGAAAGTATGGTGCTCCACACAAACCTTCCATAACCTTTTAGCGGCCCGATGGTTTGGCAGTTTGAACCCAATAGTGCTGTCAAACTGTTCCAGCTGGAAAGAATCCACAAACAAATTAACCCATTTCCTTAAGCTGGCTATTAACTAGCAGGCAGAGTTCAGATAGTTCCATTAGTGTAACAAGCTGTAATTCTCCTCTCATAAGACTTCATAAGATTTAAAAAAAAAAAAAAAAAATCAGAATTTCCAGCCTTTTTATAAAATTATACTTGGCAGGCTAGTCATGATGGGTAATAATCACATTATCACTTCCTAGCTGTACTAATGACTCTTTTGAGAAATCCAATAATACTTTAGTGTTCCTTGCTAATTTTCTGACTCGCTGCCCAATGTATTTATTTTTAAACTGCACAAAGTAATTGTACTGCAGGTTGTGCTGCACACTTTCCTTGGATTTTATAAGTCTGAAATCCATACTGCAGTGTTAAGCTTACCTGATCCGTTTCACTATGTAAGTTTCTTAACAAAAATATTACATCTATGCACTGTCAGTGAGTGCAAGAACAATACACCTGTGTTCCAAAACTTACAAAACTACAATGTTCGTATTGTACTGTTGGTATTTAGACTTCTCTTTTGTTTTATTTATTCACACAGTAAAAGCTACCTTAAACATGTTAGAGTATAATTTTAAAAAGCATTATAGTGTTTGACATTTTGTTTTTTTGCAAAATTTCCAGTTAATATGTCTTCAAAACATAACCCCTCCTCCTTCAGGAACTCCCACAAACTTATAATGGTATCTGAAAAGAAAGTTGAATTCACTATTTCCACAACAGCTAACAGAAAGAATTATAACATCCTACAGGACAACTCAAGCATTTGGTTACACCCATACAGCTAGATGTGTTGACATTTAGTGAACATTATACCCAAAGAGAGAGGCTGGCTCTCCATGAGGACTGCAAGTTTGTATAGACAGTAAGAACATGGCCAGTGTAACTAGCTTTCCTTGTAAAAAAAAAGTTACAGGATGGCATCTATTAACAAAAGAAAATAGATTTTCTTCTTGGTTTGCATTTACTAATCAAGGCAAGTGTTTAATACAATCAGTAGAATTTGAAGAGGAAAATAAAACCCGCAAGTTCTGCTCGAATCCAATATATAAGCCTGTGAGGGCATCTAGCAAAAAAATGAGGATGTTATCTTGTTGCTGGATAGAAATGATCTCACAAAAGAAACAAGACGGAAAGGTACTACTTACTTCTGCTGGCCTGACTTTGATGTAGAAATTACTTCGCTTATAGGAAATCTTCAGAATTTTTGGCCAAGCAAAGCGGTTGATCCGGAGTCTATCTTTGTAAATGAGCAGTCCATTAGCACATACACCCAGCATGATATCCACACCTTCAGAATCCTATCACGTATGAGACAATTTCATAAAAATCAGTTTAATAACATTCCAAACAAGTAATTGTCACTGGCATAGCTTGAGGGAATAATGCAGCTAGGACTTGTTTCATATTCAAACCTGAAAGACCCTGACAATGAGATTCTTAAAACAAAAATAGCCAAGTATATTAATTTTATAGGAAAGGCTTCGGACTCTAAGTAATGGCTTTGGCACTCATATGCCATTGCATATGCCACAGTTCTGGGAAATTCTTCAATATTCTGGCAATAGGCTTTAAGTCAACAATTTGCAAGGAAGGAAAGGTATGGCAGATGTACTACCAGTAATTTCACCAAACATTAAAAGAAGAAAAATTAAAAACAGGCCTTTCCAGCTTAAAACAGTCAGTGAAAGTCTGACCAAGTTGGTGATCATGGTGATCTTTTACAGTCACCTACTATTCCAGTAAAGATATAGGAAGTAACGGAAAGTTGGCTGAAAATGTCAACATAATGATTTCAAAGTGCTGGCAGGCCGGGTTTCTGAGCATCTGTTCCACTGACAGTGTTTGATGCAAGTTTTGCAGGCTACAATACTAATCACTTACTGATAAGGCTTCGATACACTGTACCACTACACAATACAGCAGAACCTCGTGTCCTCCCCAACAACACATCAACTACATCAAATGCCCACACTGTCATTAAAAAGTTGCTTCACTGGCATAACTAACAGCTGCAAGCGGATCCTGGCAAACAGCAGTTCTAATGCTTGCCACACTATGGCAAAAGAAAGCTCCAATAAAACTCTAAAAATTTAAGTTCCTTAAAACACTACAGACCAAGTGAACTGCCACTCTGCACTTGTATTAAACGTCATAGACATAGTTAATGTACATGAATAAAAATTTAAGTATATTTCTTTCAAGTGCTTCTAACAGAACAGAAAAAGTCTATGGAAAATTGCAAAAACAAATGCACATTGTTTCCATATGAAACAGAATTAAACAATGTTTCTCCAGTACTTCAAAGTCTTGGTTTTCTTTTTTAAATATAGGACTGATATGCTTACAATTAATTTTCCTAATGATTTGAAACTCTGGATTTGTGCGAGGGAGTGGGAGGGGGTTGGTTAGTTGGTTTGTTGGATTTTTAACTAAAAAAATCCCACTAGAAATGCAAATTTGATTTGGCTTACCTAGAGGAGTGGAAAAAGCACAAAAAACCACCCTCCCCCAAGACCTCCCCCCGCTCTGTTTTTAACTCTCATGGTATTACAAAAACAATTACATGTTCTTTTAGGCTTTACTTTATGGCCCCATGTCTCCTTGGCATCAAAAATCTGACATTTAAAATGTATTTAGACGCTCTTATGAATAAAATATTGTTTCCAAGCGGCACATACGTCTATGCATTAAATAAACTTAGATTTAAAATAAATTCTAAAGATGTTAGAGCTGTAAACTGAGTAATTATCGTGACCAAGAGATAAAAGGCTTATACTTAAGGATTGAGGGCATTACATTTTTTAAATAATCTATATATACTATGTTTTTTAATACTAAGCATGTCTATCGTAAAACAAAACAAAACAAAACCAATCCCCAATACCTTGGCATGATGTAAATCCACTCCATACATGGAGAGTCTCTTAGCATTTTCTAGGAACTGGGAATCCGCCTGTGCTGGAGTCAAGCCCCTAAAACCATTGAATAAGCCTTGAGTTTATTGACAAAAGAACTGAGAATCAAAACTGAGTGGAATCCTGGAATTCAGACACACAGAAAAACCTCAGTTTGTAAGGTATCAATAGCATTTTTGCCCTAAAGGGAAAGTGCTCCTTCAGAGCATATTATATTCCTTTAGTAGAGATTTCCATGTTCACTCTTCCAAAATATTCTAGCTGTATGTTGCTTAAACTAATTCATATGCTCAGATAAAAATATTTTCTCCAAAAGTTCTCTTCTGAGATCTTAGTGAAGCTACTATTTTCAAACTGAAATTTTTAAACAGATGAAAGTAAGAGGTTCTAGTTTCACAGCAAAAGATTTCCAAAGTAACAATAACTTCAGCTTAGCAGTTTTACACATACTCTTAAGAGAATTGACATAAACGTGACAAAACATGATGATTTCATTTAATCCCACTGTAACTGACACACCTGTGTGTTTTGTGTAGCTCAGCTACTTTCTCTTCCATTTCTTGAGTTTGATTGGGTGCAAACTGGAATTCACTGATACAGTCACTGCGGTGTTCCTCTGGGTCATGATCGCCCAGCTCAGCCTGCAGGGTGTATGAACCAAGGAGGGCGTGAGTCACAAAAGAACATGGCAGTCGACCAGAAGCAATATCCTGACGAAGCTGTAGGCACAAGAAATATCTGCAAGACAAAGGAAAGGGGAAAAAACAAACAAGCAAACAAACACAAGAACAGAGAAAGTGTTAACAATGGCAAGGTTATGAGATATGGCAGAATTTAACGAGATGCATGTAATCATATAAGGATATTTTAAAGTAAGTCAATGTATTAATAATTTGTTACACCTTACATTATTTGAACTTTATTGCCACACAGTAAATTTCACTTCCATTTTTAAGAGTCGATATTACTTTCATAAATAATGTGAAAAGCAGGAAAAATTCTGATTTCCAATATAAATGAATGAAAAACTGTACCTAGTTTGTAACAAAAGCTGACTTAGGAACTCCTTCATTTCACATTATAGCCTGCAGGTATCTAAGGCTTATAAATAAAAACCCATGCATTTCCTTTGACATTTCCCTTTGGCTTTAAAATTCTAACTTTCATATCCCTTGCAGTTCATGAGCTAATCAAGTCACGTGTCATGGTTTAACCTCAGCCGGCAACTGAGCACCACACAGCTGCTTGCTCACTCTCCCCCCCCGGTGGGATAGAGGAGAGAATCAGAAGAGTAAAAGCGAGAAGACTCGTGGGTTGAGATTAAAAGTTTAATAATTGAAATAGAAGAAAATAATAATAATAATAATAATAACAATAATAATAATAATATACAAAGCAAGTGATGCACAACGTAATTGCTCACCACCTGCCGACCGATGCCCAGCCAGTCCCCGAGCAGCGGCCCCCCCCGGCCAGCTTTCCCCCAGTTTATGTACTGAGCATGACGTCACATGGTATGGAATGTCCCTTTGGCCAGTTTGGGTCAGCTGTCCTGGCTGTGCCCCCTCCCAGCTTCTTGTGCACCTCCAGCCTTCGCAGTCGGTAGAGCATGGGAAGCTGAAAAGCCCTTGACCAGTGTAAGCACTGCTTAGCAACAGCTAAAACGTCGGTGTGTTACCAACATTATTCTCACCCTAAATGCAAAACACAGCACTGTACCAGCTACTGGGAAGAAAATTAACTCTATCCCAGCCGAAACCAGGACATCATGTAATACACAAAAAAAATCGGTTTAGTACTGAACCCATAATTGCCTTCCTTAAACTACATAGGTATCAGAATTTAATATTTCAGGTACTGCATACAGTCTTCTACCAAATTTAACAAGTTAGCAATCAGTAGGCATCCTACCCTAGCACAGATTTTTAATGTAAATAAAAAAAAAAAGTTTTACAAGTGAAGCTTAAATTGTAAGGAATTAAGCTTTAAGCTATAACTATAAAAATGCTTTTATCAGTTGAACACACAATTGAAAAGCCAACCAACTCACTGAAAATTGTCAAAGAAAACACAGACAGCTTCTTTTAAATACACTGTGTACTAAATGTCTTAGACTGTTTGTAGTAATATATCAGCTACATACTTGCGTAGCTATCTTATTTTGTGCAGAAGACTGATCCAATGCAACGTGTAGTAACATATATCCTGCCTCAGCAGAGCCAGCTAACTCCAAACCAAAACTAAGTGTTTAAGTTTTCCATAATTCCTGAAAAAATAAGTGTCAATTCCCTGCGCTCTACCCACTGGTTATGTTAGTCCTGCAGTGCTACTTTTTAGGTGGCTAGTATCCACTGCATTCTAAGTATTTTCTATCTAAGAACTTTGGAAGAGAATTATTTTCCGGTTTTATTATGGTTTAGGGTTTTATTTAATGCATATGTATAAAGCTACTTTTTCACCAACCTAGTCTAGATTATTACTGAAGTACCTTGGATCCCTTGAGCTTCGCTCTTAGTATCAATACCCCCACACCCTCATTTGCTATATAATGAAGCAGCAGCCCAACAATAAACCACTGCCTTCTTTCAAATATGATCATTCGCATCTTACCTCCCACCCAAATCATATCCCCACTTATCATTAAATTCTTCTTTCTCGGGTTTCTTCCTGAAGTTTTCACTTTGCCTTTTCAACCTTGTTCCAAAAAGCAGTTGATGTAAGAACATCTATAGTGTTCTACAGTAATAGCCAAACCTGTTATGGCATCCAGAAACTGAAGAAGTTTTATATGGCCTTCAAATTAGACTAACAGTAATTTTTAAGTTTAAAATTAGGAACTATGCGTACCTAGTGATGTCTTCAGTCAACTGTGAAGGATCAGGGGGATAAAACTTCACATTAAAGGTGAATATCCAAGGTAAACCTAAACATGGGAAATGTCCGATTGTTAATCTCCAACAAGTTGAAGCAAGCAAAGAAAGAACCTTACTGAAAAATGTTAGGCAGTCATATAAATCTTAGATCACTGAAATGTTGAAGAAAGTTTTTTCCCTCTCTTTACAGTATATTAGTAAGAAGCATAGATTATTTTCATTATCAGGTGGTAACTCACATACACATACAGTGAAAGATTAGCATGTCAAAAATTATTTTTAAAGAATGTTTTACAGTAAGTTATGTAAATAACAGAAAACATTTTTAATTTGAAAACTACCATGATATATTAACACTTTTAAGATAGTCAGTGTTCAAAGTCACTTTCACTGAATTTGTGTTTATTTCCAACTCCTCCAAGGCTAACAGGCTCCTCATGTTTAAACTGACTCTTAGTTTGAAAGACTGTACAGTAACTGTGAACATGAGATGTCAAAATGAGGTCTGCGTTGTATACAACAGAAAGATAATAAGTAAATTATTCATATTCATACAGAATGCATGGAAGACAAAAAATATTAGCCATTCCTCCTTTAAAATATTTTTTGAGAAACAATATGTTTAGCAAGTATAATAGCAGTGACATTGTAAGTTTAAATTCTCATGTGTTAGAATTGTTAACACCACATGCATTTTTTACACAAAAGCATGCTTAAAACTAGATTAATAATTTGACAAAGCATAAAATGTTGTCTTCAGTCATAGCTCTAGTTTTAAATAAATTTTTAAGATTTGAAAGCTGAAGTCACTCATCAACCATTGAAATACATTCTCAGAATGTTACTCTACCAGTATTGTAGCACTATGTGCAAGAGGAATACGTTCATTGGAAAGTACTAATAACTTGACAAAATGTAGAACTTTCCTAATTCAAACAGATGTTATTAAGTACAATGCAGACATACATATGTAATAGAAAATCCCAAAATAGGAGTCTAGAAAAAGAATTTAATAGTTTGGTTTTGCATGCTGCTTGAAAGCAAATGCAGTTGAGCTTTATCATATCTTGCCAAACATAAAGTAACACTACCGTGTAGATCTGCTAAAAATGATGAAGAAAGATAAGAAAAGAAATCAAAATATTATCAAAACAATTAAGTAGCCATTTTTGTCTTTCTTTTGCCCCTTTTCTCCTAATGCAAATAATATTTTGGTGAAAGACCTAACAAAAATAACCTTCGGTAAAAAAGGTAATAATTTTATAAAGCTTGTTAATGATGAATTTTGGACAGTAAATTATTTTAAAAATCTGTCCTACACAGATAAATCATGCTTTGAAAAATGTGTATTTTAACAACAACAAAAAAAAGACTGAAATGTCATTTCCAACATAATGCTAGAAAAGAGTGCTGACATTTTTGTTTAAGGTTATTTTCATTAAAAAATCCTGTTTTAAAATTTCACAGCTGTTAAAGGTGAAGAGGTGCTTGGTGTCAAAATTTCTAATGTCTTTCAACATTTCAAAAATTATTTCAGTTTTTCAGACAAGACTATTCATTGGAGCACTTCAATTTCTGCTTAAGCGTGAACCTCATTGTCCACCTGGCTGCTAAGTCGCGATTTCCTTTTCAGAGCTCAGGGTTTTAGCATATATTAATGTTCTCAGTTACCAATTATTTGTTAGAACAATGAGAACTTTGCATACAAAATAAGGCAGGACTCCTTAAATGAGAAAGCCTAATTTATCGGATGTACATATAGTACTGAATTGGGTAAAATATGCCTCATTGCATCATCTACTGCAATCCACTGCAAGAGAGAATTAAGACAAAAATACCTTTAAAAAATTTCTACACTAATTAATACATATAGCATGACAAACAGAATTAAAGCTGGAATAAATTAGCCCACTTCCATCATTTATCTCCCAGGGAATTGGCATCATTTAATGAAAAGCTGCTGATATTGAGTAAGCCAAACTGATGAAGAGAAGCAATTGGGCCAAAATATCTATGCAAAAAGCGTTCAGGGAGAGTTGTCATGTTAACAGGGCTGTGGGATGGGGAGAGATGGATGAAGGATGTGTCCTTCCACAGAGGTACTAAACCAGTCTTCAAGTTTTCCTGGAATGAAGCAATGTTTCCTGGTATGAAGCAATTTTTCCTGGTCTAAAATTGCAGTTAAACTAGTCACAGATGAATTCCTGCTTAACTTATTTCTCTTTCTTGTCAGCATTTCTACAGTTAGCTTTCAGAAAGCACTGTAGCCAGGAGACGTAGACACTGTTTGAAGGAAAAAAAAAAAAAAAAAAAAATCTATATTCTCTATAAAAAGCTAAAAAGAGTGTAAATCCTCTGAATGTATAGACTATGTGAAAAATTTCAGGTGTCTACTCCTACTAATTCCATAGCTAATCCATTGAAAAAATGTTGTCATTGACTTTGTACTAAATATTTTCTGGACAGTTGATGACCTTGTATTTTGCCTGATTACTGAAAGCACATTTATCCCCTGAATATAGACTAGCAAGTATATTACAATGTGCACAGTCTATATACTTCTCACTACAGCATACTATTTATAGCCGCATAACCGAGGCATACAAATGTAATTGTCTTCATACAATAATGCACACTATAACTGGCATTTTGAATTGGTGGCCAAGACAAAAACAATAAATAAATCTGATATTTAAAATGATATTTAGCATTCTGTCCCTGATAAGGCTCTCTGTTTTGATGTTTAATAATATGGACTATAGAAATGTGAAAAATTTTTCTAGCCAGCTTGTTACCTCAAAAATGCTTCTGTGGCAACTTCAAGCACATTCTTAGAGAGAAAGAATGCAATATAACCAACCAGCTAGCAGCATACAATTAACATGATTCATCCCATTTAAACTGGGAAATCAGTGAGGGTTTTTTTTTTCCCAGTAAAGGCTTTTTCTGGCTTTTACTGTTGATAATTCCTGTGTCTCAGCTAAGATTTTTAGGGTACTGTGTGACTAGGACAGATACACTACTCACAGGCAGATGTAAAAATGCCCCATAAAATTAAGGAAACTACTTCTATAATTTTTCTTAAATTACTGTCAAGAAAATCAAAGAAATAAGGAAGATCTAAATCCAGTCCACATTTTCAAAAATGCATAAAAAGCAGAGTACAAACAGTCCTGGTTGGACTGACAAGGTTCAGCTCACAAACTCAGTCATCTCCAAACTGCAAAATCATTCTTTATTATTAGTAGACATACAGAAGCACGTCTGCAGGACAACCCTTCCCTTGGCACAGGTACTTAGTTCTCTTTACCAGTTATAAGCTTGACTCTAGGGTAATTAGCTACAACTTTTACAGATATATAGTTATTTACATAAAAATGATGGATATAAAATAAAGTGACCCTGCATAAAGTCACCCCCATATTTTGATGCCTGAGCATAGCCATACATTTTATTAGAATCATAGAATCCTTAAGGTTGGAAAAGACCTCTAAGATCATCGAGTCCAACCATCAACCCAACACCACCATGCCCACTAAACCATGTCCCTAAGCACCTTTAGCATTAAAATCAGACAGCCAGAGCTGTACATTTAAAACGCAAGCCCTTTCCTTAATTAATTCTAACTTCCCTTAGCACTTTAAATACAAACTTTAGATTTCTTAAATATTTTAGAACACTGTGCTGCAAAATTCTAAACTCATGTTATATTGTTCTCACAGAATTGTATTTATGAATTTATCACCATTTGGTCTACTGCATAATTTGAAAATATATCTATTTAACCATATCATTATTCTTCTATATCACCCTCTTTCCAGTTGTTTAGGCTGTGTTGCAGAATATACCATAGAACCAAGGATGTAAAAAAATCCATTTCAACTCCATGACATTCCCAGAACTACCTTAATTGTTGGCTAAGTATGTCTCAAAGACTAGGCCAGTATTTCATTTGGCTGTTTTTAAGTTCCCCAATCTGAATGACTGGATGCCCATTAACAAAAGGATGTTGAGAACAGCCTTCAGCATGAATAAAGAGAAAGGTTTAAACTTATAGCCCAAGATTTGTCACCAGCTGCCTTACCTATTGTACCATTTCATCTCTTCTAATCCACTTCCATAGAATTAGAGGATTTCCCTCACCCCCCTCAATAATTAAACTGAATCAAGTAACAAGCAAATTAAGTTTTCTGTCTTCAGTCCTTCAGTTAATCACTCCTTTCTAAAAAGAAAACAACTTTTCTATCACCATAACCATTATCTCTTTTGATGCTAGGGGACATAGTTTCTTCCAACCCTAGACTGCTGAGATGTAATTATATACATAAGACTCCACTGACTCCCTTCTTCATAGCTAATGGAAGAAAAGGGGCATTTGGTTTGGTTCCCCTCTCAGGCACCTATTTCAGGATGCACTCACTCACCTCCTGGAAGTGCCTGTTCCTTCAAAAAAGAAGTGCATTTATCTTAGGTGGACACAGTTAACCTAAATTAGATCAGATTAGTCATATCTGGTACATATATACCTGATGGGTTTCTAGAATCTTTCTGGCTAAATAAGTATTCTTTTGACAAAAGACAGTAAGACAATTCTACAGTTAACTTCAAGAGCAAAACCAGTTAAATGTATCCTTTAGCAGGTAAGAATGCACAAAAAAACCCCTATACCAGTCCATTCTGCCCTCAGAACATCCAAATCCTCTCCATTTCTTGTAAGATATACAACACAGGATACGCAATGTGGAAGTATTTTTTGCAATAAAAATACTAATCATGCTGCAGACTAGAAATAGATTTAATTGACATAACATTACCTTGGATTTAAACTATTCCACACAGCATACAAATCTAATTTCCATTTGGAAGAGAATGAATTACATCCACACTAAAACCAGGATATATCCCAAAAATAGTTTCAAAATTTGTGTGAAGAGAAAGATAACCAGGTCTATAACTCAGTTTCATATACTTCAATTACACAAACAATAAAAGCAAATAATTAGGTTTCCCAAAACAGATGGTTTATACATTCACATCTCTAATCTTTAAATTGCAGACAAAAGATTGATCTTCAATTGCAATAGACACTATGATGAAACCAGGTTTATGTAGTTCAGTCGTTCAATTCTGTTACACTGAGAATGAGAGTTATAAAAACACCCATAGACAAAACTGAGTGGAATATCATGTGTTCTGTACTAACTGCATGTACAACATCTCACACAGATAAATTCTCAAATTACATTTTATATAATGGTGAACCACCACACTCTCTGTGAAGTCTGGGATTTGACTATTCCAAGGTCAGTTGCTACTGCTTGTACCATCACAATATTCAAGCTGAAGTTCTCAATTTTGCAAAAGCCTGAATCCACTTTACATGTAGCAATTTTCAAGAAGATATTGACAGAAATGTAATTACCCCACCTGTCCCTGATTGAATTAATTAGAGGTTTTAACACATGCCAGTGGATATCCAATTGCATGAATTCAAAAAAGTTAAGAACTAATTTTTCTGAAGAGATCAGGCTGTCTGAAAGCAAATAAGCTTTTTGCCGCCTCTGTAGCCCTGAGAACAGAGCCAGTAATTTGTGGATCACATTCATTAGCCGAGGTAACATCAATAATTGCTGAGATCCAACAAAATTGCCCAGCCAAAGGCCAACCTGAACAAATAAGAGATCACATAGAAGGCCTGAGGACCCTGACTTAGCAAGAGACAGTCCGGTGCAGAACACGACTTGGGAGAGGCTACAGGATTCTTACTTCGTCTTCCCCAGTCACAGGTGGTACATACATGCCCAATGTGCAGAGTATTGGTATTGCTCACATGTAAGAGAGAGACAGAGATTGTTATGAATATTAAGTTGCAAACTGATGTGCTAAACTCCACCTCCAAATTTGTCACCTTTGTGTGTTCAGATCAATGGATTTGTCCAGATACGCTTATCTAGCATGCTAGTGCTTCAGTTTGTGCTGTACAAGAGAAAAAGAAATGAGTTTCTTCATTTCAAACGTTCAGCTGGACTAGTAGGTTTTACAGGTAAATTTATTGAGTATTTTTGTATGTAAGATTTCCATTCCTGATTCAAAGACAAATATATTTAGAACTAAGCCTGAAACAAAGAAAAGCCTCATAACTTGATACTCATGTAGCTGGGGGATAAAATTTGTCTTTGCAGTACATTCCCATATCTGGAAACTTTAATACACTGATTACAGAATCATGGAATCATAGAATAGTTTGGGTTGGAAGGGACCTTTAAAGGTCATCCAGTCCAATCCCCCTGCAATGAGCAGGGACATCTTCAACTAGATCAGGTTGCTCAGAGCCCCGTCCAACCTGACCTTGAATGTTTCCAGGGATGGGGCATCCACCACCTCCCTGGGCAACCTGTGCCAGTGCTTCACCACCCTCAGTGTAAAAAATTTCTTCCTTATATCTAGTCTCAATCTATCCCCCTTTAGTTTAAAGCCATTCCCCCTTGTCCTGTCGCAACAGGCCCTGCTAAAAAGTCTGCTGCCATCTTTTTTATAAGCCCCCTTTAAGTACTGGTAGGCTGCAATAACACAACTGACAGTATGCTGATACTTGCAAACTGCTGTAAGCAAGTTTCACTTTAAAATCCTTAAAATGGTGTTCTTACTTTGTTGTTTGCCTTACACACTATGCCTATCAATTCTGAAGTGCTACAGACCAGAGAAAAAATTCCAGTCACGATGCCTAATTCAAGAAACTGGACTTGATCTCCAATATAAAATGTAGGTATTCATGCTGTATGAAAAATCACATCCACTTAAAATATTTTTGTAGTACATATTATACAGTATTAAAAAAATGTTGTGTAGTGCATCCAAAAAATTTTCAGGTCAGTTCTTACACTTCAGATTCATTACACTTACTTGTAGGCTATATACCATGCAGATCACTGCAGAAGACAATAACAAAAAGTATCAATGTCCTCAATCTTTTGTCAAATAATAAAACCAAACGAAACAGCCTTTAGCCCACGTATTTGGACAACTAATAGGTTTTTACTGAAGACCTGCAGAATAAGAAGTTACAATACCAGTAACTTTTCTTGAATTAAAAGGATGGCCTCTACTTGCATAAGTATATTAGTACATTCACCATTTTAATAGGCCTAGTTTGCTTATACAAGACCATGTTAGAGAAAAAAAATAGTTTCCAAGGAAGCTTCTGTAACTTTCTTTACTGAAAGTATAAACCACACCTTCCTAGTAAGGGATTTCATCAATTGGGAAAGGTCTAAAAAAACCAGAATTAACACCACCATGATTTCTGGAAAAACATTAGTGTTGCCTTAAAACAAGAAGTTAACAATAGTAAAGAAACCACCTGTTTATCATTGTAAATAACACACTGCTGTTTTTAATTACAAGCGCTCCCGCTGGATTACACTCCCCAAAAAAGTTCAAAGTCAGTTTCTTAAATAACTTAAAATCTTGTTGTGTTGGAAGTGTAGACATGTAACTCTTATCATCATCATCATCATCATCATCATCATCATCATCATCATCATCATCATCATCATCATCATCATCTCCTCCCCACTTACATTTCCTATCAGGCACTACAAAAAGAAGGTTTCCATCAAAACCAAAACAACAACAAAAAAGACCTGCATTGGCCACAAATGAGTAAAGCAATGAGAAGAATTTCAGTAAGGGCAAGGGTTGTCTAGCGCTTCTTAGTGGCTACTTATTTTGTGACATGTAGACTCAGGAAGAGTATCTCCTAGATTTACTCTCCATTCACTCCCCTATCTACTACAAAAGCTACCTGGCTAGTGAAGAGTTTTGACGGCGTTTTATGCAAACAGAGTAAAATTAATTACTCATTGTGTATTGAGTATAGGAAGTAGAAAGACTTTTCACACAGATTCAGTCTGAAAAGCATTGTAGCGAGACATTCCGATATTATGCTCTCTATTCCATTTCTATTCTGGAAATGATGAACACATCAAAAAAGCCAATGCTGGACTGATGAGTATTGAAGAATATAAATTTTCTGTAAGACATTGATTCTCCTTTTATAGTTTCATATTCTTCTGGTGAATCTTTGAAGTTAGAAAGTCCTATAGCAACAACCATGACCATCTTTGCAAGGTGACATTCTCCATCCCATAACCCAAATATCAGCACAAAGTTGAAAAACATCTACTGTCTCAGGATGCAAAAAGATCAACTATTAGTCACATACAACACAGAAAAATTTTGGGGCAGCAGTCAATATAATGATTAACTTCCACAGCACAAGGCTGAGTGATTCTTCCTCTCCCAGACAGTGGACAGAAACAGAAGCTTTGCTTTCTGTGCTAAGGCTGAATGTATCATTATCAGATATAAATTACTTTAATGCTATAAGTATACAATTTAGTCAACATCCAGGCTACTAAGTTTATGAAGAATATTTCTGTGAGGAAATAAAAGGAGCATAACATCTGAATACAGAAGTACTTACTTCGAATTTGTCTCTTAATTTCCTTCGAAGAATCTAGCCAGTTCTGAAAAAAAACCACAACCAGCATTTAAAATCACTTCAGACTGAAGGTGGTGAAGTAATTGCATACAGTGCAGTTAAAGTTTGTATTGTTCAGACATCTGTTCTATTTTAAAATAACCCAGAGAATTCTAAAACTGAACTTGTGATTTGCTAGCAAGTCTCCCTACCATGCACATAAATGAAACTGTGTAATGCCACTCCCTTCATGGTTGTCTTATTGCTTTAGACTATTTATGCCCTGTAATTTTAAAAAGTGGATAGTCTTACAGTGGAGGTGGTCTAGCAAATTACATTTGACAAATGCAATTTTCTCTCATACCGCTTTTATTGACATAAGCACACTTTTCAGGAACGGCTATGTAATCTCTACACGTCTGTGCTTACACACCCATATAGAGTTACCTAAAATGATATTTCTCTTGAACTCCAGAGACGACTTATTCCCATCGTTTGTCTGAAGGCATATATATTTTAGTTCTGATAACATTCAAAGGTGCTTGGGAAAACCTAATCAAGTTACATGCTTATTTCCTAACCTCCCCCAAAACTAAATTCTCTATGAACATGTATTATGTTAACACTGATACACTGGAAAGGTTCAAATCTAGATACTCAGCTCTATTTTAGGCAATGCAAATAAAGTCAGTTTTTCATATTTAGATGCCTCACTATTAAATGTGTTCTATCCTCAATACCAAAAATATTTTGATATAATCTGTGCAACCTATTAAATAGCTTATAGCATTTCAGTTATTATTGACATGTGCAAAGAGACTTTTTTGTGACTGATCATTCAAAAATATAACTTTGGGAAGTGAGACTAAGAAATCAGTAATGTATATTCAACAGTAACTCAGACAACCCTGCTTACTAATTTTACCCATAGATGTTAGAAAATAGATTGAGTGAGAGACTAGAAACATAAGCCTTTTAACTGCAGTTACTGAGAATTTACTTTATGTGGTGTTTGAACCTTTATTTCCCACAGGCAGACACACATACACAAGCATATACATGAAAGAAACACACATGCACACAACCAGCCTGCCAGCAGGACTTAGCACATTTCAAAGACAGAGATGTGCAAAGTAGGGAAGAATTAGCAACTGACTTGTAAGGTCAGGGACAACATTTGCATTTCCACAAACCACTGCACGTATTAGCAGCTTTGAAGTCAGAGGGGACTTCAGTGCCAGCACAAATGTTGCTAAAGGCATATGTCTACCAATGTTCCTTGCCTAACCTAGCCAAGTAGTAGATACTGGGTATAATGTGACTGACCTTTCAGTCTATGGTATCAAACTCCAGATGCAACAATTGTTTTCCAATACCATATCCCTCAGTCTTTATTACAGGCTTTTCCACCCAACATCAAATTTATTTCAAGGAGACAAAACATGCTAGGCTACAGTTCTATGGGTCTGTATGGATTAGGAGAATGTGGAACTATATGTTTTTGCACTAGTGCAAATCCTTAATGTAGATCACCTCTGCTGATAAAGGATGTGGCTTCTATGAATATGACCCAAAATACTAAGTTCCCTGTTGTAAATGACCTTGGTCCAAGTTGATTTCATCACAAATGCAGCATGTATGTATTGGACAAATACTGTTTACAAATTAAATGCAAAACACCCTTTTTATCATTTTTACAGATGCAATAAAAAAAAAAGAATAATTTCACACTTCTTGCTTTAAGAAGTCTGTGACCTCTACATTTCATAGCTACTATAATTCTTCCAGAGATGCACAGTCCATAACATCGTTACAAAGGAGGAGATATAAAACACTCCTCCAAAAAATCTGTACACCATTTATTCTGCTTAAGTCAGAAAAACTACTATCTGTTTGAAGAGCCTTGGCATGGAAAGGCCTTGGAAGACAACAGAAGTCTTCAAATAGTTTTAGCTGAGACTCACTTCAGCTACAGTTATCATCCTAGGTTTTCAGTTTTGGCATGAATTCCATTCCGAAATGATACACAGCCATATTCTTCCAATTACAAAGATAACTAGAAGTAGCTTGAACTCTTAAATTTTAGATAAAGTATAATATAAACTAAATAAAGTAAGTAAGTATAGAATATAGCATGGCAGAACTACAGCAGAAAACTAGGATTCCTGAGTATCTGTTACTTTCAGTGCTTTACCTTTTATCACTGTAAAGTAGGAGAAAAGAACATACAATACAGAATATGCTGCAAGATTAGAAGAATAATCCTTTCTTTACAGAAGTTATACAGTTCATTTTCTGATTTTCCAAACCTGGAGTAAGCTTATTGGAAGCAGACTTTGTCACCAACTTTCATTACTGTTCTGTCAAATAAAATCAGATGCTTATATTCCATTTATATGCGTAATTACAGGGGTGGGTTTTTTTGCATCTGGGCCTTTTGTTATGGAGAAAACAAACACTATTGAAAGAATCTACCCTGAAATAGACCTCTTAATGCAGAATAGACAGGTCTGTCTTTCAAAACAAAAGACAAAGTGTACACACACTACTTTGCTCCAGTAGGCAGAAATCTATTTGTTTAATTTGTGAATGGTAAGGTTACAGATGAGACAAAGTAATGAATTGTCAAAGAACAACAAAATGTTCTCTACCAGTACAAAAGTATTTTGTACATATCCAGAAAAGCAGCATTTCCAGCTGGTGCCCAGAACATGAGAGCAGAAGCTTTCTAACACTTCTGCAGACCAATTACAGTGTGAATGGAGCATTCATGAACTATTTGAGGGTGTAATGCAATGAAATCACTAACTAAACTTTAGACCGATAAATTTAACATTTGCAAAACAATGAAAGAAATCATTAATGAGTAATTTGACCTAAATAGTTTTAAAATGTGTATTAAAGCTAACAAAAATCAGTCTGATTTGAAGACATAACATCTCTCCCAGCTGCACAGAACAGCCATAGAGAAAAGCTAATGGGACTCCTCCTCCAATGGTACCCCGATGGTGCATTAGGGAGCAGCTCTAATTCAAGAGTGCCTGGCATTCAGTTTCCACACCCCACAGCTGCCGTCAAGTTCAACAGCTGGCTTATAAATGGGTGGCTGTGATGAGTGCACAAGAATGAGAAAAACACATCATTCAGCATTTAGTACTGACTGGCCTGGAGGTCAGAGGTTTGTGGCATTTTAATCTGAAGAGGCAACAGTCATAACAGGAGAAAAAAATGCATCAGAAAGAACTGGTACTGAGATGAAAAAAGACTTCAAACTTACTACAGAGGTGAACAAAAGAGAAGGCACTAAAACCAGTAAAAGTTCCAAGTCCCCAAGCTTTCTTTGGTAGCTATTGCTGAACACAACTGATCAGCCCCCCCACTTCTATCTATTAATTAAATCAAAATATAACATGTTGAATGTTTTCTTCTTTTTTTAAAAGAATGAAAAAAAGTTGAGACACTTAAAATTCCTAAGACAGAAGCATTCATTAAAAACATACAACAAATATTTAACATACTGAAAACAATTTAAACTGTCTTCATCCGTGAATTAAAAAAATCCCTTTAATAACAAAAATGAGTGCTACAATCTTACTGAGCACATTCTGCATAGCTATACAATTTCAAACTTACCAGCATGAAAGAAATGGCAGTTGGGGAGGGGGAACTTTCTCAGCACACAACCAGTAATTCTGCCGTATTAAGACACTGCAGTAGCTACCCTTCACATTATCAGGATATGTTTATACCATAACCGGTGTAAGAACTTCCAAACATGGTGTTGTACAAAAGCCGTAGCTTTGAATTAGGTAACTTGAATGACAATAGCAGTAAAAATAAGCAAGCCTATATAAATGTGCACATGTTACAGTACAGATTGTCCAACCCATAAAAGACTGTGAGCACTTAGCCAAGTGACTAGTTCATGCGAAAGCCCACGTTTTCAAATTCTTCTTTGAAAACCTGGGTATTCCCACTCACCTGGTAATCACAACTTAGAGCTGCACCAGAGGCATAGTACCATCCACATAATGGCACTTTGCATACAATCTAAAGCATATGGGCTATCCAGCCAGGAAATATCTAAAATAAACCCCTCCTTCACTGTTACTCAGTGGCATTCAAAATCTTGTAGTTCCTGCAGTTCACCATAAATTAAGCTTAGTCCTGCAATAGAAAGTAGGAGGTGGGAAATGCAAATCTGCTAGGGAAGACTCCTTTTTAAGTTTCTCCAAGTAACACTACGAACTTACTTGTATGAAGAAGACAAAATCCAACAACTGTGGTTTTTCAGTCTTCATAACAAATTGGACCAGATTTCTCCAGAAGTTTTTAAATAAAAGCCTGCTGCTGTCCATAATTCAGGTGACAACTGGTCTACTCTTCTTTTGAATAGAGTGCTAGGCTTAGCCTGGGCATATAAATAATTGAACCACAGGGACCCCATTATCCAGATATTTCTTGCTTAATTTATGTAAATATCTCATTTATGAGTGTTGCTACAGCAGCACTTCCATAGTCAATGGATAGGGAGCTCAAGGACTCATTCAGGCTGAAAGGGACCTCTGGAGATAACTGGTCCAACTGTAATTCAAGGTAGCACCAGGTTTGAATTAGCTCAGGTTGCCCAGGCTCATATCCAGTCAAGTTTTTAATATCTCCAAGGATAAAGACATATGAAAAAACAGATGGACTCCTTCTAAGGTGTGGTACTCTGTTCCTCCATTCACATGACTGAGGAATACCAAGAAATCTCTTATTCCAAGTAGAAGCACATTAAAAGAGGAAAAAAAAGAAGAAGGAAAAAAAAAGACATAACTCTAGACCAATCCAGACTTTCCTGCTCTACTTTCAAAAGCCAAAGGCTCCCTATTCCACCTCCTAGGATCTACTGAAGTGCGCTATTTCCTGGTATAGTTCAAGGATCCCAGGTCTGCTATTAGACCTTTCCTCTCTTGCCAGAGATCAGACTGTTGTTTTATGTTGTTTTGTTGTGTGTGTACAGTGTAGATTTCAATAGTGAGTAGCACAAATAAAAGGACAACATGTGATAATAATAAATAATTATTAAGATTATGATATTACTCAGAGGATCAACTGAGATGCTCTTCACTGTTACACCAAAGTACTACTCATTTCTATAAATGGTTTACAAATCAAGAACAAAAATAAAATCTCCAAGTAAAAATACATCAAGCCCATCTTATATAAGGGGACCTTTAATACAGAGGGATTGAGTATTTTGCTCAATGCTGCACAGAAAGCCTTGCAGCAAAGCAAATAACTCTAGAAAACAACTGTATTTGAATGGAAGTTGTCAGAAATTCAGATTTATTCAGACCACTGAATTAGACTTCATTTCAAACACAACAGTGGGATGAGAAAGTTGACAGAAAAAAAGCAAAAGCTTCTAGACCAAGTATAGTACTCATGTAATGATGTTTCCTGCTACAAATACAGAGATTAAAAAGAAATACAATTTTTTCCACTTCAATTTGCAATTATTAGTCTGTTTTCTTTATGAGGGAAAAGATGACTGCAGGTATATCTTTAGTTCGTGGACAAAGCGACAGCTGGCTCATAACTACCTGTAAATGTTCAGATACTGGGAAAAGCTAAATTGGCTTTTGGTAATTAGTGGAATGCAAGCCACCAACTGATTTAAGATTTTTCCCAGCTCAGCAATCTAGATGTGCTCGACCATCCAACACGTAAGCAAGTGCAAAAGACGACTGAAAATAAGTTATCAAATGGTATTTGAGAGATCCTTTTGAATGTATTCATATCAAAACAGTATTCATTTGTAAAATTAGCCTCCAATACTGGTGATAGGCTAGCTCCAGTCTCATCTTTACAAATGCCAAAATTTTCTTTAAGCTTAAAATTAATAAAAAAGGAACTCAAAGGCCTAATAGTTACAGACTGAGGGGCAAGATTTCCTTCATGTTCCTGTTCAAAGCATTATTAAACATACATGAGAAAAAGCAGCCAAATTATTGGAAAGTCAGGTAGAAGATTAAATTTTTTTTATTATTTATCATCCAAAGTTTTGATTGCTTGTTTTTAAAAAAAAGTAAGCAATTAAAGTTTTCAGAAATTTGGGGAGTTGTCAGACCGTTAAGGCAAAAATATTAGTTAAAATTTCATATCTTCACTTGCAGGGATGGCATACTGTTTTACTATACTATTTTACTGTTTTACTATAAAGCCTAGCAACTACTCAATTAGTTTTCTCAAAAATGCAGATATTTTAAATATTCCCCCACTCTAAATAGTAAATGGGCACTTTGTTAGGTATCCACGTACACATCAGTATCTTGCACAAGTTGCAAGTTTACAGCAGACTACAATTGGTATTTTGCAACAGTTTACTCAAATGTTTGTAATGGTGTATATATTTAATACAATATACCTCACTAAACTATTGAAGTCAGTAGCAATGTAGAAAAACAAACAAACAAAACCCTCATACAGGCTTACCTTCTGTTCTGAATTCTCATAAAACAACAGCCCAAAATAGTCCTTTTCCAGTAAATTGAGATGTTCACACACTTTGTCAAACAGTACTTGGCCTTTTGCTTTTTTCTAAAAAAAAAAAAAAAAAAAAAAAAAAAAAAAAAAAAAAAAAAAAAAAAAAAAAAAAAAAAAAAAAAAAAAAAAAAAAAAAAAAAAAAAAAAAAAAAAAAAAAAAAAAAAAAAAAAAAAAAAAAAAAAAAAAAATTTTTTAAAAAAAAAAAAAAAAAAAAAAAAAATAAGAAAAAAAGAGAAAAGTACTATCAGTAAATCAGTAAAATCCTTAATTACAGGTATTGTTCTTTGATAGTATTAGTAAATTTTAAAATATCAATAAAATAATTATAAAGCTGTAGCTTTCTTATGATACACTGTTCACTATATTTTGAAAGCTATACATATCACTGACAAAAATAAAGGCATTTCAATTTTTTTCAATTCATCAAAAAAAATTGACTTGAACGCGCAAGTAAAAGTCAGTACCTAAATTGATTTAAATACTTTGCACTACTAAGTGTCACTAAATGGTTCTTAGTTTTTCTGGATCCTTATTTTTGAAGTAACAGAAGACTTCTTCATGTGATACAACTTTTTCTGTATTATTATCTTCTAAAAATTAATATACTTCCTACAGTGTTAATTTCTGTTAACTTCTGCATTTCTAGCATTTTGGCATACATCTCAATGACTTTTATGAATCAGTGATATGAACTCCCAAGAAAAATAAAGCACGTTATCATCTTCAATAGACAAAAAGAACAAGCAGACCACTAAAAGTCAGTGATCAGACCAGTAGAAGTAGCATACAAGTGTAGGCAGAACATAAGCAACACGTCTAGCTGTCTATACTGCAGAGGTTTTGAGGGGCAGAAAATAAGAAAAGAGGGCTGCCTTCTATCTGTAGATTTATGAACTCTCTCAATACCCAACAAATCCATTAGAGACTCAAAAATAAAAACCAGTCTTAAAGAAGTTTATTCTTCCTAAAAACAATATTTGTGGTAGTCAGTAACAAAGAAAAAAAAAAATGAAAATCATATTTTTATTTAAGGTTAGTTTCAGTATCGTAGTCTGCTCCTTTATAATAGTAATTGAAGGCTGATCATCATTTTAACACAGCCTTAAAAAGGCTGCTTGCTGTAGCTCAGTACTGCTGCAGCTTAAGCAAATGGCAGTTAGTCCTGAAGTTTCATCTGTTCTTCTTGTACCTGGAACTGGAAACATAAGCAAGGGCATCCCATATCTCCCTGTTGCTGGTAACGAAAAGCAGGCCCAGGCCCTACTTCTGTGCGCCAGGCTTTAGGGTAAGGTTTTCTTGTACTGGAGATGGCAGCTGACAGGAGACAAAGTTTTAGAGCAGACAGCTCACAACACATACTCAGGGGTGGGGAAGAAGAGAATTTCCTTCCACAGTCAAAATTTGAACATGAATGGCATGCAGTCTCCCGGTTTGAACCAACTCCTTCATGACTGTTCTGCTATTTGTGGCATTTATCAATGAGACCACAACATGGCATTTTCAGAGGCCTGGCAGCTTAAAGGAATTTTTGCATTTGCTTATCCTACAGATTTCAGCAGATGCCAGACACCACTGCAATTCCACAGAAACGCCATCAACTGCCCCTGTGTAGGCCCTCGCGACACTGCAGCCATTGTCCCCCGCAGACAGTGGCAGAGCACTCACAATATGCCCCAGCTCGGCACTTGCCTGCAGCTCAGCTCCACAGCACAAAACATTAAGGCCGGGAGGGGAGGGAGGGGGGAGAAAAGAAGGTATGCACTGAGCAAATAGTGAAGGCATTGTTGTTTTATTCCCCAAGAATCCAAAGCTTTATTTATTCAAGATTGCATTGTTCAGCAGACATTACAGTCCCGAAGATCAGAAAATTTTCAAAGAAACACTGGTAAAATGAGCACATTTAGTAGCCCAAGCATCACAACGAGGCAGTGCAGCTTAGAAGTCAGAGTCACTTTTGAAATAGGGAGCTGGGAATCTTAAGTCTGTTTGGTACTTTCAAAAACTTTACTTTCAGAAAGACAGATGACTATTTCCCCTAAGAGTCTGAAGTAACCACTTAGTTTTCTTGACAGCCTCACCTTCAGCTTAATAAAAAAATCAGCAATATAGAGAAGTGCTAAACCGAAGGCAGGAAAAGTGTAAGCAAGAGAGGGTTTGAAGAATCTTAGCCTGCTTAGATGCATGTAATAGATATAATTTTCCTCCCTAAATGATTGTGCACGTCAGTGATCACACCTTGCAAAGACAAGTTCCACGGTATACACATTTCAGTAAAGGAAATCTACAGAGTAGTGCAGAAATAATACATGCTATCATTAAGTCCATATCTGGAGTCAGTTGCTAATTATGTAGCTTTTCATAAAGTTCATAAACTAAAAACCACACTTGGTATCAAGTCTTTGACATACAGAAACATAAAGCAGCCAAAATTACAGAAATATATTGGAAGTATAACAGTAAAATATTGCACAGTCTCTTCTTAGGAAGTCATAGTCAACACAGAATTTGGACACACTAGCAATGTCCACTGTATCTTTAAAAATATTTTTGTAAGTTTATAGCTCTGCCACATAAGGAAAAACACCACCATGCCATGAAGACCACATTATGTTAGTCTACATTCTAGACAGCAGCACGATACAAAGAAGTTATAGTATCAGAAGGTGACATTTATAGAGCTCTGTTGTAGATTCAAAAGCGTAAGAAGCCTCTCAGTATCAGCAATGGTTCTCATTATAAAATCCTACTTGTAAAATTAAAAGACTCTTAGTTCTTTAATTTTTTTTAATATATTGTGATATAGTTTTAAAAATCTGCAAAAGTATTTTATTTGCAAACCCAAACTTTTCAAGTGCAATTTCCTTGTAATCCCTTTGGGGACAAGCATTACTATACAGTTTAAATTATAGGATAACATATAATTCTTCTGGAAAACACCATACTCCTAGGAGAGTGTCTCTAAACAAGAACTGAAGTTACATAGAGAAGACAACTGTTGTGATCCAGTCATTTCAGAAGTTAGAAACTGTTTAATAGAAGAGCAGGGGACTCTAAGAAGGCAGCATCATGGTTTGCACAGTTTAGTGTTACTTTTTAAACTGGATTCTACTTCTTTTTCTACCAGTTGGTTGAGGTGTCAGGTGATAGTCACAACCAATGTGTAAAATGCAAACATTAGCACTGCAAACAAGGAAGTCTCCTTATTCCAGATTCTAATGCTGAAATGGCAGTAAAAGCGTAAGTGCATACTCAGCCCCACATGAAGGGGAGCGTATTCAGCCTAGCTATACAGAGGCTGAGAAGAAGTGAGAACAGGCTCACAGAGCCAGTAGTTTAAAACACCACTGTACTCAGAACAGCAGTATTTTGTATTGCCCCTAAACTATGCTTTTCTTTAAGTGAGAATATAGAAAGAATGTACGTAACCGAGGTTATTCCAGTACTGATTCCAAATCTGTATTTAGACACCACAGATGCCACCTCATAATACAACCACTTCATAAAACCAGGGGTAACAAGGCTTCTGTCCTTTACCTCCTTCTCACAAGAAGAGCAAATCAGAGCAAACCAATTGCAGCAGACATACAGAATAGAAATTTCTATGCAGTTGGGAATTAGAAAAGGATATTATGGATCTGCTTGGCTACAAAAGAGTTGCCAGCTACAAATGCAATATAAACACTACCGGTGTTCCTCAGGGCTACCAGTTCCATCCAATAGTTTTATCAATGATCTGGATTCAGGAGTTGAATGCACCATTACCAGTTTTGCTGATGATACCAAACTGGGAGGTGCTGTTGACTGTCTTGAGGGACGAGAGGCCATGCAGAGGGATCTGGATAGATTGGACCATTGGGCTATGATTAATGGGAAGAAATTTAACAAGTCCCAATGCCAGATTCTGCACCTAGGACAGAGTAACACCAGGCACAAGTATAAATTGGGAGAGGAGTGGCTGGAGAGCAGCCCTGCAGAAAGGGATCTGGGGGTGCTGGTCAACAGCAGGCTCAATACGAGTCAGCAGCGTGCCCTGGCAGCCAAGAGGGCAAACCGCATCCTGGGATGCATCAAACACAGTATAACCAGCCTGTCAAAAGAGGTGATTATCCCGCTGTATTCAGCATTGGTGTGGCCTCACCTTGAGTACTGTGTGCAGTTCTGGGCCCCACAGTTTAAGAAGGATGTGAAGGTCCTTGTATGCGTCCAGAGGGCAACAAAGCTGGTGAAAGGGCTGGAAGGCATGTCCTCTCAGGAGCGGCTAAGGGCTCTGGGCTTGTCTAGTTTGGAGAAAAGGAGGCTGAGGGGCAACCTTAGCGTGCTCTACAGCTTCCTGAGGAGGGAAAGTGGAGAGGGAGGTTCTGATCTCTTCTCCCTGGTATCCAGTGATAGGATGC